GATCTAAAGGATGATCCTCTCCAGGATCCAGAAGAGGAGCCAGTTCTGAAAAAACGAAGAATACTCTAAATTTCAGTCCAGAGATCTATAGGCTCTGGCTTGAAAGCTGAGATTTCCAAAGCTGCCTAAGGTACTTGGATATCAAAGTCCCATTACAATTAATCCAGATGCCCAGATGCTTTGAAAATCTCAGCCTCAGATATAAAAAGAATCAGTTAAACATTTCCCCACTCCTCTTTTCTTTTCCACGGTATTCAGGACCACTGCCTTTCTTTGCTGACATCTGTTTAGGTTTCATCGACTCTGACAAGTTTTGTTGACCTGAGTAATAGCTTCCTATTGTAAAAGCTCTGGTGTTTCCCTAAGTGAGATGAGAGTTAGGGATCTATAAGGAGGTGGCAAGAGCAGAGAATGCATCAGATCCTGATTTTGATCCAAATGAAGACAAGAGCGCATCAGGTTTAACTCAGTCTTCTGCTGAGTTAGAGTGTACCTGTATATGCAGTTAGGGTTTAGCAGAGATCTGGGTGAGGGGTGTAGGAATCTAAAATAGATTGATGGGATTGAGAAGGAAGAAAGAGATGACTGTGTTGGGAGGAAGTAGGGAGAAGGGAGAAGAAGAAAAGATCCATTTTTTCCAGGCCAAGCCTCTGCCCTTCTATTTCAGATCTAGATGGCAATCTCACTGCAGTCTCATGTCTCTGCTATAACCCTCACTATTCAATACATAGAGTGAATTTCAACCTAGGCTCTGTGTGCAACAACCAAGGCCTGGCATCACCTCTAATTTATTTTATTTATTTATTTATTTTTTGGCAGAAGGAAGTGAAATAGATGACCCAGTTGTGAAATCCCCTCCTTCCACTATCCTGAAGAATTATGTCATCGTTGGTTCCTCCCAAATCTCAGGACAAGCTGCCCTCTTCCATCCTTCTGGCCAGAAAGGCTCCGATTCCCTTATCAGAGGACAGCACCCAACGCCAACTGGCTCCCCTCACCTTGCTGCCGTCCACCTGCCTTTACCTCCCAGCAGAGTCATTGAGGAACTCCACAGGGCTCTGGCCACTAAACATCGGCAGGATAGGTAAATACAGCGCACTGTGTACCGGGGAACAAAATCCTTGAAAATAGAATATTTTTCTAATAAGAATTCCCTTCTTGCTGTTAAACATTCCATTCATTCAAGTTGACTGAATCCACTCAGTTTTGTCCTTGCATTATTTGTTGCTGCTGCTAATCCAGGCAACAATCTCTACTTAAAACGAAAGGTTCTGTTATTACTTTATAATAACTGAACTTGATAATACTGCAACAGGGAAACAAGGGATCAGATAGGTGAACTTGTTTGATAAAACACAGCCCACAGTAAAAACTATCTTGTCCCTGAATCAGGATATCAGATGGAATAACATAGGCTAGTCCCGAGAAAAGAACTACATCCTTGCAGACCACACACCACTTTAGGCTTGTTTGTCAGGAACAGAGATCAGAGGCCAGGTGTTCAAAACTGCACGTGCACAAAATGCACAGCTAATCTGCACACAGAACTGTCCAGGCTCTCGCATGCAAATCAGGCAATTTCTCTATCAGGTGGACTGTTCTGATAATCAGAGATACAATTACCCGACTACCCAATTTAATCAAGTAACTATGCCTGAAAATTAGGAATCCGGTTTCTTGGACACATTTATTGAAAATTAGACCCCAGCAACTTCTCTGAGGTTGCCTGCGACCTTTGGAGCAGTACACAATGGTTAGAATTTCAGAAGATGGAGACAGGGTGTGAATCTCTCTGCCTTGACTCAAGAATGCCTACTTCACCTAAGAAAATGAGTTATTTCAATACTGCATATCATATTTACACGTGACTAGAGAAAATTACCTGTTTCTCAATATTGAAACTGTTAAATATGAGCTACTTTATATCAGTTGACCACCATCTCTCACCTCCGTAATACCTTTCCGCCTCCAGCCTCCTACCTTCTGAACTTTTCCTGACTGTAGCTAGGCTGCTAACATATAGTTCCTCTGAGTCATTCTTCAGCTGTGTTTTCCCTACCATTGCTTGTGTCCCAACTGTCTGTTGATGTTATCACTGTTAGCATCTACCAAAGAGATCATTTGCTCCCCAATATAGACTTGTATCTAGGTGCATGAGAGGGGAGAAGCAGCAAGCAGGAAGTCCTGAGTTCCAGTGCTACCTCTGCCAGAGGTTCATTGTGTGACCTCAGGCAAGACACTTAACATCCCAGGTGCCTCAGTTCAGTCATTTGCAAAACTAATATAAAAATAACCTGTGAAAATGGAAGAGTACTTTACCAGCATTAAGCAGTAGTATTTTAGTATGGGGTTTTTTTGGCCGTATGTAAGCATATACGGAATCTTACTTTCCAATAGGAAGGGTGGAATAGGAATATTTTAGGTACTTCATCTATTTTTCATTATAAACCTTCTACTGCAGCAGTAGAGAAGAACAAAGATATAGTTTTGGATTTAAGTTGGTAACGTTTCTCAGTACTACAACAGGCTTTGTCACAGGGAATAGATTAATACAATGCCCCCTCCAGGCCCTGTTAAATCTTTATCAGAATAATGAAATAGCAGAACAGTGGTGTTTCATGCCATGCATGTTTTACATTAGAAGCACGTGCCATGTTCTTTGAAAAAGGTCAGCATGTTACAGCATGCAGCACTGTATCAAAGAAATGCAGTAGTTATCACCCTTCTGTACCTTGTTCTTATGACAGAGACTGAGAAGTGGAACAGTGTTAGCCATTCTCATCACAATCCTGGAAATGCAATCGCACGATGTCCCTTGCATGTTTCACTGCAGAGGACATGCTGCTTGTGCTCATACAATACTAGGTTTCTATTGTGACATTGAAACAATCTTTTCTGAAAACATGGTTGTGTACCTTCTATCCACAGCTTTCATGGAAGGGAAAGCAAAGGGTCTCCAAAAAAGAGGGTGGATGTCCGTCCATCCAGAACATCTAGCATTGAGTGCAACAAAGAAAAGGAGAATTCACTGAGCCATGGCAACGATCCAGAGAACAAGTGGAACTCAGTTAAAGAGTCGGATGAGAACAAAGAAAACATGATCATGAACTCGGAACTCAAGGACGACTCTGTATTTTATCAGGATGAAGAGGTTTTGAATGACTCCATTATTTCTGGTAGGGAAACTAAATTTGTTATCTTAATAAAAAACATTACCATGATCTACAGGAGCGGTCCACATACTTAGGCACGTGGTAGTGGTCTGGATTTCTCTGTTGTTACCTCATTTTTGCACAGATTCTGTTTCTAACTGAAGACAGCATACTGAGATGTCATTTAGAGATATACATATAATTTTAATCCATGTCACCCTTTCAGTTTTGCATGAATTGCTTTGTATCATCTCACCTGCCTGGCAGAGTTTGCATACATAATATCTCATTGTCAGAGCATTATCTGGTGCATAGATGCCAGTTTTGAAAGGACCCTTCTGGAGACAGCACTCTAGGATAGGAGGGTATGTGGCAAAAAGTGACAGAGCCAGCTTGGAGGGACATGCATCCATAATACAAGGTCTTAAAAACAAAGCCACCTGTCCTTTAATCACCTTTATTGGTTAAACTTTAACAATTCAGTGAATTCATTCCAACCTACCTGCCTAATGGAATCTGAATTACTTTGCTACAGCTCTG